GAATCACCGCCACACCGGTAAATCGTTAATTGAAGTGAAATCAAGCAAGAGCCAACTCAATTAGCGGATTTGAAGAATTTCTCCAATCGAAATGTTGAAAAGAACTATTGAAACAGCAAAGGTTACCTCATCGGAAGCCTTCAGAACATCGTCATCCAGCTCCTGCAGCCTTCAATAATGAAAGATTCAGATTCTTCGCCACTCCTACGGTTGCAATACCAGTCAAGGCACCAATATGACAGGCTAGCCCACATCCTGTAACCACCTCCTTTAACAAACTAAAAAAATACAACGCCCACATTGACTTTTAGAGACATTCACTGAGGTTTAGCTCTTAGACGGTCACCACTGACGGTCACAACCCCCTCCAACCTAAAGAATGTAAAGAATACAAAGGGCTAATATAATCCAAAAGTGAAGTCGTTGACCTACGCTATCGCTATTGGAGAAATACATTAAGCCACCTTTCAAATTTAATGATGCAAAACCTCACTTCTTATGTGGAACTGCCCATTTCCGTCACAGAGAATAACATCGGGACGAAGATGAGGGTAATCCGCCAGAACTTTGTTCACAAAATCTGCCACTGGAGCTGCTTCACGTACAGCTAGATAGTCGGTGATATATGGCTCCGTTATAACAGCAACGTCATCGAAAATCGCCAGAGGCTACAACAGTCAAAATCAGATTAAAATTCTTTTTAACCGTTATAATTTAAGAAATGGACTTTTCAACTAACCCGCATACTCGGATATTCGAAAACACTGAAAGCCACTACTGCAAAACCGTTGTTGTTTTTGGAAGTAGAGATATCAATGCCACCGACAACTTCCACTTCCTCAAGCGATTCCACTGCTTGAACTGGGTAATGGCCTGCCTTGATGAAGCCCTAAAGGAATATTCAACGTAGCGATACCCATAAAGTGACTGAGACACGCGAAAAAAAAAAGTGAGACGATTAGAACGACTAAAAACGCACCTCGACGAGCTCACAATGCTTTTTCTTATAAGCCACGCCAATGTCATCATCGAAAACCAGGAAAATGAGCCATACATAGCAAGCCAGAACCCCAACAGCATTGTACACTGATATCACCATCAGGGGAAGGAACGCCAGATTTGTTCCAAATATGACCTGAACTAATTGAACGGTACTGGAGACGTTCTGAATATCCCATTTCTTATCAACTTTAACTATTTTTTCAAAGTTTCTGCTACGAGTCCGATTTCCTGCCAAGAAAAACAAACCTGGTGAACGAAAGTAGCATAAAACTCGATAAATAGAAGACCAAATACATAGACTAGCGATGGCAAAGTCATCAACGACTGGATGTCTATTTGAAAAGCATACCTGCAAATACACATCCTTACCATCACAAAAATACCTGATGGCACGTGTCATACCTGATCATGAGTAGTAGTAATACCGTATACGTCGTTGATGCACAGTATTTGATCGGAATTTCAAATAAAGTGAAAAGTAATGGAAACAAAGAAGTAGCGGTGATTATGGAGAACAACACAGTCAGTCGGATGAATTTAGGATCCTGAACATGTCTACTGAAAGAGAAACACGACAAGCAAACTAATTTCCACCAACCGTGAATGCCACGCATAGCAACGGGATCGCCATCAGTAGCATTGCCTTTTCATGTACATGGTAACCATACCAGAAGAAAGAAAAGGCGCTAAGTGACAGCAACGTACAGAAATCCGGCAATTTTCGCTTGAACATGGCACCGAACAGCGGGACCAGCGAACTGAGTACACATAACAAAGACAGTATCGGAGTTATGGTGAGCAGCACCGAATGCTCGTACTCCTAGAAAGGCATTTTTGAGTCACTAACCTGAACGGCGAAGATCATTGGAGACAATTTTTATCTTTATATCTATTATATCTTGGAGTTTACGAAGCAAATCAATGAGTGTTGTGAAAAATCAAATTCATCAGCTTGCTTGGAACGTTTCAAGGGCTCTAGGAGGGCACTAAATCGGAGAGAAGGGCAAAAGCAAAGAAAGTTATCAATTGCAGTGTTCAAGACAACAAATGTTTTCAAACCAATTAAAAGACACGGCTATTTCATACCTAAACCATGAAAGTATTCACTAATTTAGGTCCCTTTGGTTTCTAGAGAACGGGGGAACTTCTGCAGGTAAAAGTAAGGTGAAAATTATTTTATTACAAAAAGCGAACCCGGCTAGATCCGACCACAATGAAAAAACAAACCTGGACAAGTCCTGAGCTATAAGTTGGTGCTGTGAACAAGTGTGGCTTCCATAGTGACAGCAGACGATACAGTATAAGATCCATAACATTGTAAATGGCCCAGAAATTAGGAGCCCAATAAGCATGAGTTAGACCTGTAATTATCGCCGGTAACCTCAACATACGTATTGAACAGGAACAATAACCCATACAAATATTTACCTCTAGATACCGGAAAAAGTCGACTCTAGAATCTGAAAAAGCCCGCTTATACCTCCAACATAAAGAAAAAGGCCCGACAGAAAAAATGAATGGAACCGCCATCACTGCGGCAAGTTTGAGACCTGTAAAACTTATTAATTCCTTCTCTCTATGTCGACTAAAATGTAATGGAGAATCCTACCTGATGTCACCGTCCGGGTAAATTCGAACAAATCATCGAAACAACGGAAAAAATAACTTCGTAGCAGAAAAACAACATATGCTGGTGCATAATATAGATAAATATGTTTGAAATTCAACAGAACGCAATAGAATAAAGCAGACTAAATGGTGACTTTGAGATAATTGAATTGGAAACGGGTACGAACCTCATGCATTCTTACCAATAGGAACTTCTCACAGTCGGCAAAGTAAACCGACAGGATGAAAAAGCCGGTAAGCATCGAGTTATATTGAAAGTGAATATTATCTATTAGAAGGAGTCCACTATTGCATGACAAAACAACAAATGTAGCTATCCTAAAAATCGAAAAATTGAGTGGATTTGATTCTAGACCAACTCATTGCCTAGCCCTCATGGAACTCACTTAGCTTTTTCTTGTAACTTCTTCGGGAGGGCATTCCATCGCGGTGAATCACAAAAGCAAAATATCATACATGATAAAATCTGTAAAACTCGGATGGAAAAAGGAGCGGGTAAGAGTCGAAATTTCCCAAATGTGGGATTTTTTAACTGCTTGTGACCTATGTGACATGTATAGCTAGGAAAACAAATAAGAGTAGTAGCTAAACAAGAAAACGCGCAAAAAAACTGATAGGTGATTTGTATTGTTTCTTCTACCGAGGCGAATCAGAGATTTACTATGTGAAGAGGTGAAAATTTCCGAAAAATTAACCCACATAGAAAACATCGGCGCCAATAACTGATAAACGTTGAAAATATAGCACTCGACTATTTAACATAGATTCCTTTTGTAGTGTTAAAATATCCTCCAGGCCACAAAAGTAAGCAAGAGTGGCGAGACACTGAAATTGAAGGACATCAGCAATGGGTGAGAAATTGTTCCGCCAGGAGATTCCATTGAAAGCTCCTAACCTTTCTCAAAGTATGCAAAAAACGGCGGGTAATCAAAGTCCATTCTGATGTGGACTCATAGTACCACTTTGAAAGCGGTAGATTATGCGTGATGGCCATCCAGTTTCTATGAACCTGTTGAAGTGAATTGGATTTTTGACATAATACTTAATACTGAGGGAAACTCACCTCAAAATCGGTAGATGTGTAGGTTGGGATTAGTAGAAGTTTCAAGGCTATTAAAGCCGAGGTAACGACAGATACTGTCTGCCATGACGACAATGTCAACGTTCCACTCATCCCAAGAGAGGATCCTGCTTTTGGGGTGCTGTAAGAAGCCTAAAAGACTATCGATCGGTATAAGAGGCATTGAGAAATGGCTAAGCATTTCCTTGCTATACCATTTTTTAGTGAAAGTCATATAAACTTAACTTCCTCGAGACCAAAAAAGCTAGTATGTTATAGTATGTTTTACGCATGTGAAATCAACTGAAGGGAAAATGTGATCTCTGAGTCGTGGCCGGTTTTTGGCTATTTGTTCCTCCACAAATATGTGGCGTGAGCCACAGTGCCGGGAAAATGCTATTATCAGCACTGGAGCCGCGAAGCAAGGACTTGGCACGGTAGAGCTGCCAGAGAAATTAATTTCTTTAACAACGATCATGGGATTCGCTGGATGTCGTAACGGGGGCGAAAATGTTTGCAATACAATCGCAGCATCGGCAATAAATGTCTACGAAGAGCCCCACATGGCCTCGTAAAATGGTGATTTGTCTCGAAAAGGTCGCATTGTGAAGACCACCTAAATTAATCACGTGACTAATCGGCCATTTCTTTTTCCCTTGTGGAACGTCTGTGATCGCGACAAATGACTACAAAGCAGGTCTCAAAAGAAGTGCAGCTCCTAATGATTGATGTTACGTATTTTGACCCTTGCAATACCTATGTCTATGCAATTACGGCAAGCTCTCCGACCGGAAAAAAGAATGTAGCTGTCACAGCTTTTTGAAGACGAAGATCAGAAAATTTTCCAAACTGATTTGTATATAACTAATTCGTAAAGGATGTCGCTCATCGTACCTGAATGTTCACGTTCCCTATCTCGGAATGATTTGAGGTGTGGAAAGCAGTGCGGCACCGAATTCTTGCTCAATTTTGCAGCTTTGTCTCTTCGTGCGAAGGCAGACTTTCAGCCCTTTTATCCTTAAAATATAACATTATTGGATACCTTTACCTGCCAGTTTATTGCCGCCCATCAACGTTCACATTACAAAAGTGATGGGAAGTATTTGGATGTGGAATTCTGAGAGTACATGAGGTGCCATAAAAGAAAATGCGAATTTTTTGCCTTCGCGACTTCCAAGGGAATATGCGGTACATATTTCTGGGCTATTCAGGCTCGGCAAAGCAACTGCTTTCGGGACCGTACGCTACTGCTGGTAAAAACGAGGGGTGCGGGTTCGAATCCCGTATGGGGCGAAAGTTTTGTTCACAACCCAGCATTCTTGTGAAACTGCTAGTAGAATTATTTTACGGCGCGCGAAGGTTTGAACGCAAAACAGCCCACACTGGCACTTCAACAGCTTGTGGATACTGTACGGCCAATGAAGAGGCGTAAAGTAGTGGCACAAAACTTGAAAGGAACTACCACTGATGGCTAACCAAGCAAGCAGGGCGCCATATGCAGACCGTAGAAGTGAAAGGAAGTATCGAAGGAATTCAAATTCGCAATAAGTAGGAGCCAAACGCGCAAACACCGCACCCCTCCCCGTTTCGCCATTTTAGTTCACAAATTCGAAAACGGTCTCCATATTCGATATCAGCGTCGCAAACCCTATGAATGACAATGAACTTGGATCTGAATTTTCCTGTGATCTTGGTTTTCAGTACTCATGTTTGTGGCTGTTTATTTCAACCAACGGTCGATGGTTGTTGCCGACCCCTCGTTTGGCCGTCTGCCCTCTCCGCCATATCCACAGTCTCTTTTTTGTCAGTACCTCGATTTCCGGTAAAGCGCGTTTTTTTGACGACCGTTAGTATCGACGGTAGATCAAGGCGCACACCGTATACGCAGTTGTGTTGCAGTGAACCTAATACCAAAAACGGAGTTTTGTTTTGAATCAAACGAATTCGTAAGGAGTTGTTCAAGCTAGTATATAGACCGTGATTCGTATGAGGCTGGTCAAAAAATCGATCAGTTCGATCGGTCTCGTCCAGACCAAGGTCCTTTGGCGACGTG